TTAAATTATTTATTTATTTTTCTACAAAGACAGACTTCTTTGTTTTTCCTGTCCACCCTCCCCAACACACACACCCCTACCTTTTGACCACCTCTGAATGAAAACACAACGAAAACCACACACACACACACACACACACACACACACACACACACACACACACACACACACACACACACACACACACAAGGAAATGCTGGTAAATTAACCCAAACCTGCCAGACACCAAACTAATTATTTTACTCTGACCAAAGTGTTACCAACTTTCACAGGTGCAGGCGCTGGAGCGAATATTGGTGAAATTGTTGACACAAATACAGACGCTTAAAAATGCAACATCAGTCATGTATTCTAATACGAGCTAAGCGTTCACCACATGACACTAAAGCACCCTTGATGAAAATATAACTTTAGATTTAACCAAACCAAAACATGATAGCTTTACTTAAGCTAGCAAGCCTCTATCAGTCTTTAAGTTAAACGGATACCCAAATAAATACTCGTAAAGAAATGAGTTCTGGTACGGGTCCTTGACAGAACAGAATTATGGCATATTTTAAGGAAATGTTAACGAAGGTAGATGACACAAGCATGACTTATTCTATCAGAACATAAGATTCACACAAAATACAACGGGAACTAATCGATTTAGCACGCTATAGCATATAGCCATAGTTTATCCTCTAAAATGAACAGGGTTGTAAATTTGTTTTATTTGTGACACGGAAAATCGTAGTTTAAACCTTTAGTTGGTGAACACCAGTACAATTTTATCAAGAAATATACAAGCTGGTCGTGTTGTGAGTAAACTAGGAGAAGAGTGGTAACTGTATAGCTCTTTTTCCGACCCTCCAAATCTAGCTCTTCTTCTGTCTAGAGTGGGACTGAAGCTGTCACACGAGCCATCCTCTGCCCCGTGCACGCACTCACCCTGTTGCTTTGAGCCATCGTGTAAATTGTTTAATATGTTATGTTAGAACTGAAGCTCAAATTTCGATACATATCAAGTCCAAGCTTGTTTCTATCAGTTCTTTTTTTTGAGAGGTCAGTGTCCACTGGTTTAGATCGCCATGGCGTCAGTTAAAGCAGCGACGCCATAATAACTCCATAAAATGAACAGATTTCTTCATTGAAGACGGTGACAACATGAGGAAGATGATTCCCAGGCACAAGAGAAAATGCTGTCTGCTAAAAAAAAGTCATATCTTTTTTAGAGTTATTATTATGCTTAATAGAAACATGTCACATTAAGAAACCATAATTTCGAATAAAGCAGAACAAGGCCAAGATACGCTGTTTATGTTCTGACAAAATGTAATCTGTTCACAGAAGGATTTTTTATGCTGTAGTTTGATTTTTTTAAGCAGTTATTTTGTCTGCTTTTTCAATCTAATAAAACCTCTCAAAGGAAGTATTCTCCACTCTGTTTTACAAAGTGTTTTGCAGTGGAAGTAAACCTGAACTAAACCTATTCTTACAATATTTATACATACAAGGCTCCTTCAAGTACGAGCCTATTTCTCCTACCTACCACCACCACAGAGTTAATCCTGTGGCCTCTGTGCTGCTCTAATAAGAGAGGAGAATTCCACTTTTCGGAAGTCCCTCTCTCCGCTCAAACTCTCATTTATTATGTTCACTTTACATGCGAAGTAAGTCCGGCTGGCTGGTTGGCCCGATGTATTTTCAGTCTGGGGATTCCTGGCGCTGCCCTTCGCCATCGCAATGATTTTTCACGAGCTTCACAAGAATGTTATTTAAAGTCATGTTTGGGATGCCATAAATTATTGAGGCACCGGTTGAAGGAGGAAGACTGGGATAGGGGAGTGAAGCAAGAAGGCTCTTTCCCTCACTGTAAACGTTTATCTGATAAAACAAATGAATTCCTTTTTTAATTAAAAAATGTAGTTGATTAATTACCTTAAAATAATAGAATGTTTCCCAAAATCGCAATGGTTTTTATTTCAAGCCATTTTTAGTTTGTGGCGCAGTTAAGCACAGTCGAACGTAATTCCAAAAACAGAGTAATAAGGAAGATTTTTTATTTTTAAAATAATTTTATTTAAATGTAATGTAATGTAATTTAATGTAGGTCCGTTTTATTTTGTTTCATTTATTATTATTATTATTATTATTATTATTATTATTATTATTATTATTATTATTATGTTCCTCCTTTTTCCGTTGGTTTATAAATACATACACACGAGCGTTTCGGGAACGGCCTAGGTCCTTGAGGAAGTTTCAGTTCGGTAAACAGGAAGGCAAAAAAACCCTCCCTATTTCATTTTTCATCAATTTCCTCCTTTTAGTGATGATGCAGGAACACCTCCCTTTAGCACCAAGAGCCTACACTCTCCCTATAGCTCCATAACCTGTACACACGCAGGGAC